TTTTTCCAGGTATAGTCTGACAATCTGTGAACATATACAGTGGGGCAAAAAGTATTTAGTCAGCCACCAATTGTGCAAGTTCTCCCACTTAAAAAGATGAGAGAGGCCTGTAATTGTCATCCTAGGTATAACTCAACTATGAGAGACAAAATGAAAAAAAAAAATATCCAGAAAATCACATTGTCTGATTTTTAAAGAATGTATTTGCAAATTATGATGGAAAATAAGTATTTGGTCAATAACAAAAGTTCATCTCAATACTTTGTTACATACCCTTTGTTGGCAATGACAGAGTTCAAACGTTTTCTGTAAGTCTTCACAAGGTTTTCACACACTGTTGCTGGTATTGTGGCCCATTCCTCCATGCAGATCTCCTCTAGAGCAGTGATGTTTTGGGGCTGTTGCTGGGCAACACAGACTTTCAACTCCCTCCAAAGATTTTCTATGGGGTTGATATCTGGAGACTGGCTAGGCCACTCCAGGACCTTGAAATGCTTCTTACGAAGCCACTCCTTCGTTGCCCGGGCGGTATGTTTGGGATCATTGTCATGCTGAAAGACCCAGCCACGTTTCATCTTCAATGCCCTTGCTGATGAAAGGAGGTTGTCACTCAAAANTTACTCAATCTGCTTCTCTTGTCCACTTGCCCTCCCCTGTTTTCCTATTCCTCTTCTTTATGATCACTGATGCTTGACGTATTTTTTACGCAGCGTTGATAGTCAACATAATGTGCCCCGTGTTCAGCTGACTTTTTTTGTTCGATCAGTATAAGAACCACAGAACAACACTTTTAAAGTGTTTACAAATTGCTTAAAAAAGCATTTCGCCCACGATCAATGGCTTTTATTGGGCCCTGGATATATAGCCCCGCCCCCCAGTTTCTTTGTAGTTTATAATGCCTAATCAGAGCGGTCGTAATACAAGCGATTTGCTTTCGTTTTTTAGTGAATACATATCACATAGTACGAGGTAACATTAGGGATTGAAAGAATGCAAACATCTAGAAACATACTTTTAAATTAAATGCCCAATGAGATTGTACGCTTATGGGAAAAAAGCATCATGGGTGTACTCATCTGGCATGACGTGAACTATGGATGGAATAAGGCTCATCCACTTTCATTGCCACAAATTGAATGACTCACCCCAATTCCCGCTTAATCATGGTGTGTGTTTGGGGGGCCGTTGCGGTTTATGATGCACAGACTGGGCATGGCTCATTCTAATATGCCCTCTTTCTTAAAGCGTCATTATGTTTTCCGATCCGTTCGTCTCACTATATATTTTTTTTTCTAGCAGGTGATTACAGGAAAATCTGACTTGGTTGCCCTGCCCATACACACAGGCCTAGCGTAGGCGAGTCTCAACAGGTGACAGCTTGTTTAGCGTTATTTACTTTGCTGGAGGGTCTTTTTTCTTGGATGTGAGCGGCTGCAAGCTGGCGGTATGATATACCAGCAAGCTGAGCGTTTTCAAAGGCTTCTCTTCTACCATTGGATTCCTTGGCGCTGGCGAGGGTAAGGAACCCATTATCTTGGGGGAGAGTTTGAGCTGTAACAGAAGGAGAAAAAAAGTTTGGTATTCCTTTAACCGTTTCGTCACTAACAAGAGGGAAGAAAATTTAGGCGAGATGACATTTAACATTTACTGTGACGTTTCAACAGATGAGTTTCACCACTGAGGTGGTTTTCTGCAACATGACCATTACCCTCTAACCATGCTTCATGCACCGATGGATAGACCCTCTGGCTTAAATAAACCATTCATTCTTGTGTGTAGGATCAGGCTTTCGTGGCCGTTGAAGGCTAAGTTTGATATCTTAATCAAGTAATCTAGTGGAGACGTTTATGGAATGTAAAGTCACTGTGGCCTGCTTTAGACGAAAATGAGATGGGTGGTCTGACTTTTCAAATGATGCTTTGTTGAGCTAACAAATCCAAAATGAAGGATGGTTATTTTCAATGGCGTTCTGCCGGTACATTTTTCAGTAGTTTAATGTCTTAATTTAAGGTTCCTGGCAACTTCTCCAGGTGTTTTATGGAAGATGAGAACATGGGTGTTTAGTAGTAAGATATTGTCGGTAGAACCCCCTACCTATACTTGTCGACAATTGTCTATGTATAATATGCTTTAGTTAAAAGTCCCCTATTTTTATAGTAATTTCTGGAGTCTTGAAACTAATCAAGAACATGCAATCTAAGTTCGTGGAAACCTTAATAATAGGGAGAAGAAAGATCAAGCCTTTTTTCAGTAAGTGACTTATTTTGTATGCAACCGATTGCAACATTAGTAGTCTCTTTGCCAACTTTCAGTTTAAGAATCGCTCTGTTTGATTCATACGATATTTTGTTTTTGGAAGGACACTGCAGTCGCATGAAAAAACGAAGGTAATTATATATTCCGTAATTGAAACATACAGTACAATAAATTAATCGTTAATGGGGTTAGTTATCACTGCTTCCTAATAGACCCGGAGACGAGCCCTATGTTTTGTTTCACCTCTGCAAAACAAAATACCGCCAGGTCGCTATGTGTTGGAAACATGTTTATTCCTTTGCTTGTAAAACAGACAGTAGCGAGGAACAAAAAATATTTCCTGCAGTAAATGGAATCCATCCCTGGGTCCTTGGCTGATTGCATAGGAATGCTGGCGGGTCTATGCTGCCGCTCTTATGGATTGCGGAGTTTATCCACATTTTACTCGTGTGATTGTTAAGTGTAGCTGGATCCCATTAATGTGGAAAAGAGAGCTATATCTTTTTAGAAATGAAAGAAAGACAAAACTAACAGATATGTGCATGCTCTCACACCATGCTCTTATACTCCAGCATCTCTGTTTAGATGCAGTTACATCGATTCGGTCAGGCAGGTTCATTTTAATGTTATAAAGCTCACCTGTCCAATTGTGCAGAGCTCATTTGGGTAAGCAAGGAAATTAAAAAAACATCAAATGATAGTAATAAGATAATAAGGTTGATTAGATGCAGAGAATCGTTTGAATGTGGCTAAGTTAGGTTTGTCATTCAAAGCTTCCCAGCGGGCCATTCTTCAGAGAAGTGAGAACAGATTACAAGGCTGCAATTACGTGACAATCCAGTGCTTTCTATCGGCGTTCCCTCTTCCGTGTTGTCAAGAACTCCAATGAACCACATGCTGGCGTAGCAGCAGGATATTGTGTTTATGGTGTGAAGTAATTTAGCAAATGAGATTGTTCCCTTTGGGGCCCCGTAGTTTCATTGAAGAAATGGTATGTTGTGTAGTTGCCTTTATTAACAGTACAGGGACATGATTTTGATCGACTTGTCAGTCTGACAAGCCCTGATATAGGGCTTGGGTCGCCCTGTACAGTGACAAGAATGTCCTGCTGTGAGATTAGTTTATAACACTGACAATCAGCACAGGATATTCAAGTCTAAGCTTCAGGAGTTACGTACACTATGAGCGGCATCTTCAAGACGACGTTTTAATGATGTTTGTACAGTTTGAGGCTCTTTGGATGTTATTGATAAATTGGTTCGATGGAAAAAAGCGTGGAAGTGGATGTTAAAAATGAATGAAGGAAGAAAGAATATTGTCTATTAAGCAGTTTAAAGGGGAGTGAAGCCGTCACCTCAGCAAAACTGTCCCAAAGGGTTAGCTCAGATGTTCACATTTTTGAAGCGGCGCGGTGCGAGTTGTCGGGACGTGTGTCGTGGTCGAGGGGGGGCGCGACATGTGCATATTTTCGGGGGCGACTTGGCGGGGTGATTTGTTTAGCGAAAGCCTCATTCTTTGTGTAGATTATCACTTGTGCAGTTTACCATTATCTTCCTGTTAGTGTGTAGCAACTTTGTTTGTCTGCGTCTTCTGATGCATACAGGAAATTAGCAAATGTTCATGTTTTAAACTCTAAATCTCCCTTTCCCCTTTTTAAATGGCGCCTTTACCTCTTCTCCCTGACTAGCTTGTTTGTGACACGTATTGCTTTGAACGGCCTTCTCCTTGAAAAAACAGTATCTACCTCTGGCTGTGTGACTGCTATTCCCTGTCAGTCTTCTCCCTCTTGTTCCCCTGCCTTTGAGAAATATAACCACCTCATCTTCAACTTCATGGCTTTCAGGCAAACTTTCCTTTTCCCCTGCTTTTCTTTTTTTTTTGGTTGACTCACCTAGAACCTTAAAAGAGGAGATGTTCTCTAACAACTATGGCTGTCAAAGAATTAGGGCACATATGGCTTGCAGTTTCATACATCCATCATACAAAAAGCAAGTGAAAAGGCTTGATCTTGTTTGGTAAGGCAGAGGGCTGGTGATGGTCTGAGGCAGTCAGTAGCGGCCACCTTGAGAAAGACACAACTTGAACTGAGACTTCTGAGAGAACATCTGTTAGACATTAACTTTATCGCTAGTCCGCTTAAAAGCTTGACTTTTGAATATGATATGGTAAGCATAGTATAGTGAAGGCAGTAATCATTGCAGATTCACAATTGGATTCACATGACACAAGCAGTTACTCTGAAACATATTTTTGTGTTTAATACTCAGCTCGAAGGCTCGTTCGTAAGGCTTTGATGATGTTTTTCCACTTGAACTGTTCTATTTCTTTCCACCGTCGAAACCTCACTGAATCAGGGTGCTGAAACTTCAGAGTTCAAGAGAGAGAGGGAGAGGAAAGGAAAGGTTTCACACGAAAAGAAGAGGGGCTGATTTGCATGTCAGCACCTCAATCTAGACAGAGAGGCAGGCCGGCAGAGAGGCCTGGGGGCGAAGGAGAGCATTCTAGTTCAGATTTTCAAAGACTGCTGACTGGCTTCCTCCTGCGTCGGCCTGGGAGCAGGCAGCACACATTCCTCCCTCTGATTGCAGCTGATGAAACACTCATGTTGCTTCTGTCTTCCCAGCACCTGGCACATGCAAAATGCTCACATCCAAGCCACAGCAAAGAGTTGTGGCTGTCTTTAGCATGCCAAACCTGGACAGGGCTTGGATCAGACACAGACGGACTCAGATCCTGTTCCGTTTTAACATGATAATGGTGTTTGACTTTGAAACTCTTGTCTTCAAATTAAATGTGGGTTGTGTTTGTCACTTTTGCAGTTCTAAGGGGAAAGGTAGTTGGAGTGCAGGAGGTTGATGCTGGCAATGACATCTATGGAAACCCCATCAAGCGTATCAAGTATGACATCAAACAAATCAAGGTATGTGAAATTAAAGCTATCACTTTCATATTGGGGTCTAAACTTTTTCCTTAATGAATCTAAATTGACTTTGCTTTGTTTGAATTGTCAGATGTTCAAAGGTCCCAGCTATGATATTGATGCCATCTACACCGAACCCTCTCCTTCACTGTGTGGAGTGACCCTTGAGAATAATGGCAAGGAGTATCTCATCACAGGTATAACTTTCACCAAATCACACATTATAAAATATATCAAGTATTGTTATTTGAAGAGTCTTTGTTTTATGTCATCTAATGCTCTTTTCCTTCTCCCAGGCAAACTAAAAGATGATGGGACGATACATATCCATCTCTGTGACTTCATTCAGCCCTGGGAGGATCTGAATGAAACCCAGAAGACTCAGCGCTATGAAATGGGCTGTGGATGCAAGGTGGGAAATGACCACAAACTAAAATAATCTTTTAAAAATGCAGAGTTGCAAGAGTTGTAAATGTAATCCCTGAGCTTGGTTTCTTTCCTGATCCTCAGATCACCCGCTGCACCTCCATCCCCTGCATGGTCAGCAGCCCGGCCGAGTGCCTGTGGATGATTGAGAATGAGGTCTACGGAGGGCTGGTCAAACACTTAGCTTGTATCAAGAGGAGTGATGACTATTGTGCCTGGTACAGAGGGTCAAGGAATGAATTCCCCCACTGACAGATAGTGTCAGGATTTCTCAGATGAACTACAATTCCAATACCAAAATACAAATACATACCCAAGTAAAATTCCCATTTCGTTTTCTCTTCTTAAAAAGCCATTGGGTGTGTTAGTAAAGGTGTGCGACGCCCCCGATGACGTTAGAGGAGTTTGCGCACAGACATTAGAAAAAAATCAGGCGGTTCCAGTTGAAGAGAAGAGAGCATGGACCCTCATCTAAAATTAATACTCGTGGATTTTGAATTATGTAAGTATATTTATGTACTTTATTAACTCGGTACGTCCTGTGGGGGAAACTTCTGAAGCAATTGGAGTCAGGACTCGGAGAGACACGAGGAGAGCTGGAGCTTTGATGGCAAACACTGATGGTTTATTTGGAGCTTTGGCCGGAGAATTCACAAGATATGACACGGGCCACGGTTTGACCACACAGTTGAGATGCCACAATCAATTCTGAAGAACCCTCCTGTAGCTCGAGGTTTTAACTAGTTCAGAGTGTAATAATCAACATTCTTCAATAGATAGACTAAACAGCTGAGGACACTGAATCACAGTTGTTGTCGCTTATGGCTCGGGGTCATTTACACACCGAGAAGGATGTGTTCCAGGTGTCCCACAACAATAACTATCTCTGACAGAGAGTTGCCCGGTCATAAACTGGCAACATCAACAATATGCTGGNGGTGGGTGGGTGGGTGTGTGCAGGGCTGATTTCATGGTTAATTGATCATAGGCATCCCAGGCCTAACCCTCACGACAGCTGCAAGAGACACTGCCCCCCAACACTCTCTCTCTCTCACACACACACACACACACACACACAGTTCTTGCTCCAGTCTATCTTTTTTCTCTCCCTCCTCTTGCTGTCCTTCTTCTCCTCCCTCTCTGTATTCTCTCTTTTTTCTGTCTGTCTTGTTCCCTCCCTGCCCTTTCCACCAGAATGGCTTCATGTCATTCAAGCTCGTTTTACAGTCACATATTGTCATTTCATAAAGTGGTTTAATAAACACGTTTAATATGGCCATTCAATGAATTGAAAGTTTGTTCCTACTTGGTAGTTACAACACTTAAGGGTTTCACGGGATCATGCATCTTTATTATTCAATGCAACATTCTCAAAGGTATGCCTCACTGCTGCTGCTTCACATCAAAACACTTACACTACACTCATGTGTGTTTGCTCCAATAATCAACATGTCTGTTAAACAGCACCACGTTGAAGTTAGACGGAAGCCGTCATCCCGCCTGATGGAGCTTCTGGAAGAGTCTGCAGAGGAGCTGATTAAAGAGAACCAGGTAAATGTTCTGTTTGATTTGTATTAAAATGTGTCTGCTGCTCTGTTTGTACATGAATATCTCTATTCTCTAAAGGTAAGTACATCTTGCCATTATGTGAAAAACCTCTTCAGTCTCCAGTTTTTAAGTTAACATTTAGATAAAGTACATTGGAATCTAATTTTACTGTATAATATTTATATATATTTTCAAACTTACTCAATTTCAATGTTTAATATTCTGATTCAAAATGGGTTTTTGAGGAGAATTGATAGTTTGAGCTTGTAGAACCTAATTATTTAATCAGGTTTACTTCCTGTTTGGAACAAAGCGAACACTTTATAAACTGAACTTCCATACTTTGACCGTAACAAATAAGAGTTAATATAAATTCCCATATCGACACTGTAGCTACTGTGCTTATGATAATAAAGTCCTTTGAACCTTTTGAAGCTTACCCCATCCCCTCTGCTTAAAAAGTATGTAAAATCAATGGCTACTAAATTAAATAGCTAGCTCAACCCAATCAGTCTTAGTAAATTCACAGAAAGGTTTACAGTATTGTATAACACTGATTTACATGTTTTGACAGAATGGAGGCAAAGTTATCGTCGAAAAAGGACTATGCTGAGTGTCGTGAAGCTCCATGTCCTCCATGAAGTTCAGCAAAAGAAGACGCCACACCTCCCAACGTGTCCATCTCCATCAATGGATCGGCGGTGCTTGATGAGTGTAAATGTTTGGTGAACGCCTGCCTTCTGCTCACGGGCATCATCCATGCAATGAACTTAAGTAACACACTAAAGTTGAAATACGCTTGTCGTTTTCAAAAATCTTTCTTGAATTTAATTTCCTCAAGATTTCTCTTGAAAGTCAACATTTTTGCATAAGCAGAGGTGGAATTTTGAGGTACTTGAGAATTTTCTTTTCGTTGCACTTTATACTCCACTGCAAATCAAAAGGAAATATTGTACTTTGTGCTTCACTATCTTGTATAAAGTTTATAAAGTACAAGGTTCTGTTTTTTAATTGACCAAAACATTTAAATATTGTTAGAAATCCTTGAGCTATTACGTTTTTGTTTGTTAATATTGGATTTTTTACTACAGGGTACTCAAACAGCATTTAGCTAATTATAGTTTTACTTAAAGGGGACCTATCATGCAAAATGCACTTTTTGATGTATTTTATACATAAATATGTGTCCCCGGTGCGTCTGGGAACTCACGCAGCGTCACAAAATAAAACCCTTTCTCTTTTCCTCCGTACCCACAACTTTTAAAAACGGGGGTACAACGAGCGGATACAGATTTGCTGCCGATATTACGCTATTTCGGATGGTGGACCCACAGAGTTGCTATCAGCAACAATGCCTGACGTGTTTTGGACGTAATATGGTATTTGTTTACATTCGCAAGCATCGCTAACACTCAGAGCTAACCTGTACTGGAGAGCACATGTGTTTAAAAAGCAGGAAATAAAAAAATGAACTCACCTTGTGGTAAACCCGCAAGAGAAAAATAATTTGAGCTCTATAGGCTACTGTTTCAGAAATAATCCTTGATGTGGTTTAGAACAGGATGGCGTTTTACCACAGCAGAATTTAACTTTATCTCCGGTAGAATTTTGATCAGGCATTAGCTCCGCCTCCTCTTTTTTGTTTTTCAAGCTAAGGACCCAAGATCCCCGTTTCTCTAAACAGGGATGGAATAGAGGGATATGAGGGATGTCTAAAATGCATGATCTGTTTGTATTTTGAGAAAAACACATCATAGACATGTTTTT